TTCTCTGTGTGCGTCTCTCCTGTCTTTGGTGTCCCCTCAAGCATACTCTGCCAGTTCCAGAGCTCAGGCGCACTCCACACACACACACACACACACACACACACACACAGCACAGCCGAAGAAAGAACCTGCAGATGAGGATCTTCAAGGACGCTCTGACAAACGCCGAGGTCTTCTGCGACAACGACAGGCCCGTGGAAGTCGAGGGCGACATTGTGTACATGCTGAAGGGCAGCTACATTGAGGTGGGCGGCGAGGACTACGGCATCTCGGCCAACGTGGACGAGGACGCCGGCGAGGGCGCGGTGGGCGATGTCGATGACTCCAAGAAGCAGGTCATTGATGTGGTGCACAACAACCGCTACACCGAGACCAACTACGACAAGAACTCGTACATGGCGCACATCCGTAGCTACATGAAGCAGCTCCTGGAGAAGATTGAGGACGCGGAGGAAAAGAAGAAGTTCCAGGCCAACGCCGCGGCGTTTGTGAAGAAGGTGATCAAGGACATTGACGATTACCAGTTCTTTATTCCCGAGGGCAACGAGGAGGACCCCGACAACGGCATGATTGTGCTTTGCAAGTGGGACGGCGAGGTGCCGTACTTCTACTACTGGAAGGACGGTGTTAGGGGAGAGCGTGTGTAAGCGAGAGATAAAAGGTAAGCCAGACAAACCAATAATTATACTTCTTTTTTTATTTTCCTCTTTTTTTCAGTCTGCATTTCGTTGACGTCGCTGAGTGGGTGTCTGCGGTAAGAGTGATTGATTCGTTTCTTTTGTTGTGGGCGCAATGAACGGCGGAATGACGGGATGCAGCGAATTTACATGTGTGCCTCCCTGCGCTTGTGAATGAGAGGGAGTGAGGAAAACGGAGGTCCGGAGGGATGCACGCATGTGAATGTGCGGCATCGCAGGAGCACATCTAAAAGGAGGAAGAAGTAAAGCTGCACGCCATGAGAACCAGAGGCTCCACTCTTTCCCTCTTCACCCTGTCTTTCCTCTGCACGCCGCATCTACGTGCGGTTGTCCATTGCGTTGTGCGTGCAGCGTCTTCCCCTGCCTTCTCGTTTGGGTCTCTTTTTTATTTTGCACATGTGGCTAGCAGCAGCGGCTGGTGGAAGGTGTGGGAGGGCTGGGGCTGGTTGGGGGCGGGGCTGTGTGTGCCATGTGCGGCCACTGCCTGATGCACAACGAGCTGCTGGCTTGCCACATGGAACGTGCGTGGCCAAGGCGTTTTGCAGAATTTTGCACCGCCCTGCGACGCTACCCGCTGCCGGTCACAAGCGGCGCGGCCGCCACGGTACTGCGTGGCGGCTCTGCGGACGCCGTGAGGGCGGTCGATGCGTACTGCTGTGGTGCGCTGCAACGCCGCCAAGCGCCTGAGTGTGGTGGTGCCGAAGTGGGCGTGACGTCGCCGTCGCCTAGTCTCTCAGGGACTGAGGACCGCACGACGGCGTTCTCCTCGCCGTTCCGCTGTTTCAAGCTGCGGCGCCTGGAGGGCGGGGCGTCGCTGCCGCGGCGGCCACGGCAAGGCGGGAGTCCGGACAAAGCCGCCGGCAGTGGAGACGACGGCGACGTTCTTCTTACGCTGCCGGACTTGTCGTGCCCACCTCGCGGGGAGCTTTGCACGGGCTGCCCATTGCCGCTCATCACTCGCTGCGGCGCTGACGCTCAACCAATGGTGCAGCAACTCAGCCTGAGGGAGTTGCGATCGAGGTGCGCCTCACTCGGCCTCCTCACGGCCGGCACAAAGAAGGTCCTCTTCGCCCGGCTTCGCCAGCACGAGGTTGTCCAGCAGTCAGGACCACCATCGCAGCAAGGGCGGACCGGCGAGGTGCAGCCGCAGCTGCCAGTAGAAGATGGAGGGGCGGGCGGTACTTCTCCCAGGCGCTTCACGTTGACGCAAGAGGAGCAGCTGGAGCACTCGCAGCGGCTGCGAACACCCTTCCTGTCGCCATCTACCGGCCGCCAGCCGCCATCGCCCTCCAGAGAGCATCCACGGGCGTGCAGGCTCGTGGGCACCCCCCAAGAGTTCGTTGCCGCGCTAATGCATGATAAGAGACGAGAGAACGGCGTTGGCGGCTCCCTGGCCCACCCTGCTTTGGATGAAATGACCGCACAATGGCAGTGGCGGGTTCTTGTCGACAACCGAGAGCGCATTCACGGGACTCATGAGAGCGTGATAAAGGCCTTCGTGACGGCTGGTGTTCCTGCCGCGTCCTGCACGCTTCCATGTGGTGACTTCCTGCTTGGGATCGACGTGCCAGGCGAAGCTTGTGGGATCCACGGCACCCACCCGACTGCGAAGGATATGAGAAACCCCAGCGCCATCCACCTCACCGCAGCTGCAGGTGGAGGAGGGGATGCCCCTGCGCAGAAGCTATTCTCCGTTGTGGTGGAGCGCAAGACAGTGAAGGACCTGTGTGCAAGTATTGCGACACCGCGCTACTATGAGCAGCGGCGGCTGCTTTCCGTCTCGCCGTTTCGGTCGGTGGTGTGGGTGGTGGAGGGAGGCACAGAACTGCTGCGCCCCGATGAACGGCGTCGAGTCTTGTCGGCCTGCGCCTCGCTTGCGGCGGTGCCACGGTTCCGTGTTGTTCGCACGCGGCACCTAAAGGACACCATATCTTGGTTGCGCTCCCTCGGTGTGGCGTACGTGACGGCGCTGGAAAAAGCCGTGGGGAGGCACGCACGGCCCCCACAGCTGGCTGACTGTACGGCTTGCATCAACGTGACTGCAAGGATAAAGCGGGCACTACGCGCGCGTACCACCTTTGCCCGTATGCTGATGTGTGTTCGTGGATGCTCCTCCGGGCTGGCAACACGACTTGCATGCAAATATGGCTCCCTCTTGCATATGTGGAGGCGATTGAGGCAGTACGGCCGTGAGGCGTGCGACGCGGACCTGGACGTGCGCCGCCTGAGCAACACGCAGCGGGATGTATACGTGCGGCTGACAGAGTTTCTCCTTGCGGAGGAGTACTGTTGATGCGCTGGGTGGGGCAGGGTGGGGTCGTCACATGGTGTGGCCGCCGCGAGCGGTCTTGGGCCACGCCGCTTGTCTGTGCGTTTTTTTTTTTTCACCTTCCTTTCCTTTGTTTTTGCCCACTCTGCCCTCTGCCTTCTGCTCTCTGCCCAAGACACGTCAGAGTCACATTACGCGGAAGTAAAAATAAGACCGAGAAAATGTATTCTGCCAGAGTAACTGCGCTGGCAGCAGCGGCACTGCTGGCGTTCCTCGTGGTGGCGCCAGCTGTGGCCTCCGCACAGAACTCCCTCGACTGCCAGAAGGTGTGGAGTGGCCCCAGCGTCAACAACGACGTTCTCAAGTGTCTGCGCAGCGAAGACCGCATTAAGGGCCAGTGGCGCTACTTGGTTTACCCGGGGTTTTGTGCACTGTTCTTCGTTGTATTCCTTGTGAGCTTTCCGATCGTTATTATCAGTGTTGTCTGCTGCTCTAAGGCCCAACCAGGGAAGAATGCTGGCACTTCTCGCTGCTGCCTCTGGATGTGGGTTGTTTACGTTTTGCTCTGGGGCGCTGGTATGGCTTTTCTTGTGATATTCGGCGCGAAGCTGCTGGAGACGTCTGTCCCCAATATTATTGACAGCACGCTGGGCGGCCCGCTGCATTACTTCAATAACACGGGTGAGAAGATCATTGATTTCACTTCCAACTGGTCCTCTGGGAAACGTGAGTCCATAGATTTCATTAACCTGGACCTTTCTGCCTTCACCAACGTTAGCACCAAAGTGAACGATTTTCTTACAGATGCCAGGCATGCGCTTTCAACGTACATTGCATGGGTACCGATTGTATCGTACTATATCGGCGGTGTGTGTGTTGGGCTCATGCTCCTTGTGGTTGCATCGGCCTGTTTCCGGTGCTGCGTTCCACATATGGCATATTGCCTCTCTTGTGTCTACTGGATTGTAGGGGTAGTGTGCACACTGCTCGCGGTTGTTGGGACGGTGCTGGCGAGTCTTGCCACGATTGCCTGTGGCGAGGTGCAGCTGCAGTACTACCGGCAGCCGGGCGTGTTCCAGTGGTATCTCGTGCCGTACTGTGAGGAAAAGTTCAAGTTTGCCGAAATCAACCAGGAAGTGAATGACGTCGAAAAGACGCGCTCCAATGAGGCCTGCAAGACGTTGCTCAAGTCGTGCGATAACGACCCCCTCATCTATCCTGCCTCTGTTAGTCCCATTAGACCCTTGCTCTGTGGCAATGGCATCGCTTCGGCGGATGAATGTCCCGACTTTGAGTCTATGGCCAGCGTGATTCATGCCACCCGGATTAAGGCTGTCACAAGGATATGTCCCGTGGCGGATCAGTCGTGCACACTGCTCGAGTGCGCTGACAACTGCACTCGAGACGCTGAGAAAAAGCTGGCGGCAGAAATCTTGCGCGCCGCGGCACAGGCAAACAACGCGAGCATTGCGTTGTCGTATGTTAGGCCTTTGCTTGACTGTAATTTTGTGCTCGACAAGCTTCTGGGTGCCATGGATGGCTGCAACGATCTAAAGACGGGGACCATGATGCTTGGCACAGGCTTCTTTGTTGGGGGGCTGATGTTCGGCTTGGCCATCTACATCATGCTCCGCGGCTCCCGCATTTGGGACCACACGTCTGTAATGACTGTGAGGCTTATGAGGTAAATATTTTTTACTAATTTTAACGTATTTCAGTTACGAGCGAGGCCCCAATATTTTTTGTAGAAAAGTTCAATTTTTTAACTGTGTTTCAGTAAAGGCCTTTTGTACATTTGTACTGCATAAGGACCCTTTTTGCCTTGTTTTCTTTTTGGTCCGGATGGGCAGTTCTCTAACCCTGCCCTTCTGTTATGCTGGCAACAGCCGTGGGACTCGGTCGTTATGTGGCCCATTTCACACTAACTTTTAGGATAAAGAAATCAGGGGTGGGGGGAGAGAGAGAGAGCTGTGTCACATGGAATGCAGTGAACAAACGAAAGCGTAGCGGGGGAGGGGTTGGGTTTTTCCTCCTTGGTGATCTTCCCGCCCAAACAGGAGGAACATGGTGTGTTATTGAGGGGCCATGTGCCGCAGGTATAAAAGAAATACCGGTGCAATGCGTGGGGAAACGAGGAAAGATGCATTAGTGTGGACCCTATATATATATATATATATATATATATACAGCACCGCCAATGTAGTTATGAGGGTGCGGACAGTAGACGTAACGCACTACCTACAAAAATTAACTTAGTAGTTGAGATTAATTGTTGTTTTCCCGTGTTTCCTTTATTATTATTATTATTCTTTTTTTTTGTGGGGGAAGGTCTGCATGCAGACATAAGTT